CTCTCTCTCTCTCTCTCTCTCTCTCTCTCTCTCTCTCTCTCTCTCTCTCTCTCTCTCTCTCCCTACGCACACAAGCTCTCATATCGCTCTCCCCGTGCCTCTCTGATTCCCTTTCTTTTTTCTTTGGCTTTCATTTCTTTCTTTCTTCCCTTTTCTTCCTTTTCTTCTTTTTCTTTTTTACTTTTTTTTTCTTTGTTTCTTTGTTCTTTTTTCCTTTTTCCTTTTTTCCTTGTTTTTCCTTTTTTTCGTTCTTTTCTTTTTTTTTCCCCTTTTTCCTTTTTCCTTTTCTTCCCCTTTTTTTTTCTCTCCCTCCCCCCCCCCTTTCTTTTCAAGAAGAAGAAGAAGAAGAAGAAGAGAAAAGTAAAAGGAGGAGGAGGAGGAGACAGGGAAGGAAAAACGAAAGGAAAAGAAGACAAGAGGACGGAGAGGAGAAAGGGGGGAAAAAGGGGAAAAAAAAGGGACAAAAAAATGGAAACCCCAAAGAAAAGCATCCAGCTGACACACTATCACTGACTTTCGTTCCCAAAGCCGTAAAAGAGAGACGACAGGAGGAGAGGAGAAGAGGAGGAGAAGAGAGGAGGAGGAGGAGGAGGAGGAGGGGTGGGGGAAGATTAAATGGAGGGTTCTAGTGCGGCCTTGCCACGTCAGCAATAGTGAAGAAGAGGGAGAAAGAAGAACGAAAGGCAGAAAGAGAACGAACAGAGGGAGAGAGAGAGAGAGAGAGAGAGAGAAGGGAAGGAAGGGAGGAAGGAAGAGGGGAGGAAAAAGGGAGAAAGAGGGGAGGAGGAGGGGAGGAGTTGGAATGCAGGGAAAAGCACACGCGGCCTTGCCACGTCAGCAAAACGGGTTCGCGGGAAGACTGTCTCGATGATAATATTGACACATCAGCAAAATTGATTACTACTAGGTCTGACTGACACGTCAGCAGCCAACGTGGCGCCATACGCCATTCCAAACAATCGAATCGAAATTAATCAGTTCACCAATCAATCAACAAATCAATCAATCGACCGGCCAAGCAATCAACCAACCGTCTAATCAATCAAATAACCGGCCAATCGATCACCCAGCCAATCAGTCAATCAATCAATCAACCGGCCAATCGATCAATCAATCAATCAACTGGCTAGTCAACCAATCAATCAATCCACCGGCCAATCAATCAATCGATCAAATCAACCGGCCAATCAATCAATCAACCGGCCAATCAATCCATCAATCAATAAACAGGCCGCCTAATCAATCAATCAATCAATCAATCGATCAATCGATCACATCAACCAGCCAATCAATCAATCAATCGATCAATCGATTACATCAACCAGCCAATCAATCAGTCAATCGATCACATCAACCGGCCAATCGATCAATCAATCGATCACATCAACCGGGCAATCAATCAACCCTCCGGCCAATCCATCCATCCATCCATCCATCCATCCATCCATCGCTCAATCACTCAACCGGCCGATCAATCCATCTATCCATCAATCACAGATCGTTGATGATCCTCATCGCCGCTTGCCGTTTCACCAGATCTGTTTCCGCCAGCGCTCTCTCCGTGAGCACGTGTTTAATCCGACACATCGACCTTCTTACACTGGGTATCCTTTCGCCATTGGGCATGCGATGCCCCGTTGATCGGAACATCATTTTCTGTGAGTAGAGCATGTTCTTCTCCTTCAGCAGAACGTACCAAAGCTTGTGAAGGTCATCAAAGGATTTCAGCCGCAGCTCCGCCGCGCTCCAACTTCTCCCCACAGCCTCGGACCCCTCCTTTGCCACTTTACTACCCCCTTCGAAAAATTCCTCCAGGCCCCTAGTTCTCTCAACCAATGCCCGACCCATAGGCACCCGCCGAAACAAATTCCTAAACATCTCTCTCTCTCTCTCTCTCTCTCTCTCTCTCTCTCTCTCTCTCTCTCTCTCTCTCTCTCGCTCTCGCTCTCGCTCGCTCTGTGTGCGTGTCTGTCTGTGTCTGTCTGTGTGTCTGTGCGTTTTAGCCGTTTCTCTCTCTCTCTCTCTCTCTCTCTCTCTCTTTCTGGGGGTCGGATGACTCACTAATCGCTGATTAACGGCGATTGATGAAAATCACGATGCCAATCGCAGTGGCAATTAATGATGACTTGTCGGTTTGGCGTGTGTGGGTCGGATTCCCACCACTGCCGGCGCACTCTTTCCCGCGCTCTTTCCCGCCTGCCAATCACAGTGCCGATTAACGATGACGTGTCCGATTGGCCTGCGCGGGTCTGGTGCCAACGCCTGTCGGCGCACTTTCTCCCGCGTTTTTTTCCCCCGCGCCTTCCCGCCTGCCGCCGGAAGATGACCCCAGCCCACTTGCATCGGCTCGCCGTCGGCGCGCTATTTCCCGCTCTTTTTCTGGCACCGTGGCGGCAAGTAATTTTTCAGAATTTCAAAGAGACATATAACGACATAGATAGATTTTTTTGTTTTTTTTTTTTGGACAGAGATAGATAATCGCAGAACATTCGTGTCCAGAATCAACGGGTAATTTGGACCATTTCTCGATTTATGCGTGTCATCCTTGCGCAGGGGCCATGCTAATCTTCTCTGTATCGTTCCAATTTTAACGGATGTCCCGAAGGACATCAACGGGTAATTGAATTGGCTGGGCTCAAAGAATTAGCCTTTCAAAAAAAAAAAAGGAATAATTTTTAAAACATCCCCCGCATAAGTTGAGCTTTATGCCAAAATGCCCCTGAAAGATGTGGTTAGAGCGGAATGTCCTTTTGGGCTAGGCTACCAGAGTGGCCCGGGGTCACTTGCCCGGCCAGGCCAAAAAACAAATTAAAAATAAAAATAATTTATTTTTTATTCTAAATTTGGTGAAGAATTTCGATGTGACCCTGAGGCAAAAGTTGTTCAGTTCATTTTTCTGCATAACATAGTTTTTTGGGGGATTTTTTGGATTTTTTTTTTTTTTTTTTTTTTTKCTGGGGCCTTCCCTGGTCCTTGCACGGGCTGGCCACCGGGGACCCGGGCGGCCCGGCTGGTAGCCTAGCTTTTGGGCTGAAATCTAGTCTTTCAAAAAAAAAAGGGATAATTTGCAAAATACCCCCCCCATAAGTTGAGATATATGCCAAAATGCCCCTGAAAGATGTGGGTAGAGCGGAATGCCCTTTTGGACCGAAATCTTGGCGTTGTGCCCCTGTTAGGGGGGTATGCAAATTTGCAATCTTTTTTTTTTTTTTTTTTTTTTTTTTCACTTTGCCATCTGGACCTCCTGGTCTGGAGGCCTTGGCCTTTTGCAATAGCGCCTAGGAAAAGTTGGCAAGTACTGGGGCATTTTGCAAGTTGGACGGCACCTGATAGGGGTATATTGCAAAGATGGGGGTCCAACAGACACTAGGGGTATTTCACAAAAATATATTTTTTGTCAGAGGGGTATTCCGCTCTACCCACATCTCTTAGGGGCATTTTGGCATATCTCTCAACTTATGGGGGGCATTTTGCAAATTATCTGTTAAAAAAAAAAAAAAAGGAACGAGGGGCTGGAGATTTGGGGGGGGGAAAAAAGAGGTGCTGGAGGCTGGGGCCCAGAACGAGATGCTGTACCAACGGGCCTTAGTTGGTACCCCGATGAACTGTCGAAATCCAGGCCGGAGTTCGAATCACATATGTGAAACACCTTAACTGGGGCCGGTCAGTTCCGAAATGATATCCTTCTCTCAAATGTCGAAGTTGTGAAATGCCCCTCAAAGCTCACGTATATGCTAAAGTACCCTAAAACACCCCTAAAAGATGTGGGTAGAGCGGAATTCCCCTCTGACATTTCAAAAGTTTGTGAAATGCCCCTCTGACTTTGAATGTATGCCTTCTACCCCTGTCAGCGGGTTTCTCAAGTTTGCATTCTGCCCACAACAGGGGTATAACACAAACTTGACAACCTCCTAGCAGCCTGGTGACAGGGGTATAACGAGAAGATTTCAAGTTCAGAAGGACACTTCACAAACTTTTGAAATGCTAGAGGCCTATTTCGCGCTACCCACATCTTTTGGGGGCATTTAATGCACCCAAAAACACAGTTTGCCCATCCAACGTTCATTGTTAAATCAATTCTGAGATAAAACACAGCAAAAATCTCAGAGATCTCAGATTGAAAGGTGGAGGTTATGATTCGCGACCTTCCCAGGCTGATATATCATCAAACAGAACTGTCTGGTAAACCGCAGGCAGAGAGGGAGAAGAGGTCAACAAACGAGGGGCTGTTTTTTTTTTTTTTTTTTTTTTTTCCAAAAAAACAACCCCCGCCAGTGCTAGTGCTGCTGATTCAACAGTCACCACTAGCACCTAGAGGGAGGCTCCATCTATTGGTGGGGAGCATCACCAGCTGGAAAACGGATTCAGCGTCCCTTAAACAGCAAATTATACAGAAGAAATTGGGAACCGTGATTCTGAGGCCTGCCAGCATTGATTACCCTGTATCTCAGGGGATTGACTGAGCAGGTATATCTGTTGTGTTTAGTAGTCCTCCGTATCTCTTCACCCCCCCGGAGGAGGGCGCCAGAAAAAAACATTAAACCACCAGTACTTGGGCACTGCGCGCCGGAGGTCGAAGCGACACGGGCTGTGGATTCGATTTATCCACGGCCCGCCGGCCGCAAAATTTCCGTAGCGTTGCCCCAAGTACTGGTGGTTTAAGCACTGATACAACAATCTAAGGCTTGGTATCATGATTAGCGGGAAACCTTCCCCAGGGGGCACCGGGGAGGGTTCCTCTAACAGCAGTACCAAACAGTTCAAGGCAATTAATTCAACAAACGAGGGGCTGTGACAAACTGTTTGGTCCGAGTTTCACTGACTCATCAGGAGGCTGATGTATATGCCCCAGAGCTTTTTTTTTTTTATAACAGAAACACACACACCCACCAGTGTTAGATGTGCTGGTAAGAGCAGACACCACTAGCACCCGGGGAGGGGCTCCATCTATTGGTGGGGAGCATCACCTGGTGGGAAGCGGGCCCAGCGTCCCATATACAACTGAAATTGAGTACCTCAGAAGACACTTGCGGAGAATTGACTGAGCAGTTTATTAGGGGGGAGGGGGAGCCTCTTCACCCTGAATCTGGCGACAGATATTTACTACTACACCCCAGTTCCACCGTCCCCTACCAGCCCCAATCCCACATCTTGGTAGTCTATCACAGAGTCATGTAGATTAATCCTACTACGAAACCCCTCCTCCGTACCGCTGGTGGCGGGAAAGGGTTTGGGAAGTCTGAAGCAGGGCGCCACGGTACGTCTGGGCAAACATTTGTCCACTCCTGAAACTGAAGATGATAATTCCTGTCACCATGTCCCACTATTTCCCCCTCCCCCTCCCTTTCCCCTTCCCCTTCCCAGCGAATTTTTGCAATAGGATTCTCCAGGGTCCCCCCCCAGCCAGTCATTGTTGAATTCTTGAATATACTTTTCTATTTCTGCTTTTTTTTTTTTTTTTTTTTTTCCCCCCCAAAACCTCTTGTTGGGGGGATTAACACTTGAGTAGGTGATAAGAGCATCCTCCTCAAGTGGCTCCCCTAGTGGAGGGCTCCATCTATTAGTGGGGAGCAGCACTTGCTGGAAATGGGGTCTAGCATCCCAGTAATATACAATGTTATACAATGTTATACAATGTTGATGTAGAGAATGAGGTTGAGAATGAGATTGCTGCCCGAGCATTTGTCTGTACGATGTCTGTGGGGACCAAGGTCCTGTTCTTGGGAATTTCACACACAAGGAGCTAACCACTCTCCCCACCGCCTGCTCATCCTATGGATGCTGTGGAGAATGTGGGCTTCTTCGCCACATCCTTCTTCCTTTTGTACTCAGACTGTGCCTGTATCTCCTTCCGCCCTGCTTAACTGGCCTACTCTCGGACATCCCTGGCCGGCAATCGAGATGAAAGGTCAAGATGGCAGAGGCAGAGGGGGCTATGCCATGGCTGAGGGGGGTATCGTCGGGCTGTCTAGGTAGATCATGGGAGAGAGCGAGGGGAAAGGGGGGAGGAGGGAAGGGAGGACGCGGGGCTGGCAGGGAGGGGGCGGGCGGCTGCAGTGGGGGGGTGCGGTCGGGGGTGAGGTGATCAGGGTGTTGGGCACAGTCCATTTGTGGAATGAGAACAGTTTGTGGGTTGGTGTATCACCTGAAAGTGGTGTCTTGGCAACCTTACCCACTGCCTTTCCGTTGATACCCAGTGCTGCCACTTCAGGGAGTGGGCGTTGTCAAGGGTGCACAGTCTGTCATTGGTATCCATCCAAGTGGTTTTGAAGTTCTCCAGTATGTGTCGTTTTCTGGCCGTTTGAGTTTAATTGCGTAGATCAGACTGCATCTGCCTCCAGGCCTGTTGGGTATTGGCAGTGATTGTGTCTATGATTGTTGCCCGTGCTTGCATAAAGCCGAAATCCTGTTGCTTTCTTTCATAGGCACATCGCATCCTCCAGGCTGCCATCAGCACCGTCAATCTGGCATATGTGAACAGGTTTGTCATGAAGGGTGTCCAGTCTGTTCCCCCCTCTGGAGGTCCTCCCAGCAGGAGGGTATGGACGTCCCAGGGCAGGTGCTTCCCCGTGAGGTAGTGCCAGGCTGCGTCCCACCAGCTCCAGAGTTGGGTCACCATTGGGCAGTCTAGTAGACAATGTTCCAGGGTAGCTCTTTTCCTCGGTGCAGAGCTGGCGCAGTACATGCACAGCGGAGAGATCTGTCCTTTTGCCTCTATATCTGTTCTTGTTGTGAGCCAATCCGGAGTGGGCAGGCATCTATGTATAATCTGCCATTGCAGTGCTCTATGATTGGTCAGCTTAATGTGCGCAAACGAGGTCCATCTGAAGTGCTGGAAGTCCCGCTTTTCCAGTGGGGAGTCTCTTTCCCAACGATGATGATTTGTTGTGTCACTTGTGGTTGTTTCCGGGCTATCCTATATTCATCCTTAACCGTGTATTGCCACAGGGCCATCGAATGGGGTTCTCCCCATGACCATTTCCATTCTGCGGGGTCGAAGGGTAGGTCGCAGAGGGGGGTGGATGGTTCGTAGAGGTAGAGGCCGTCTTTTGCGTCCCCCACTACTCCGATTCTAATAAGCTCGGACGTCGGGCATTGTGTGTCCAGGTCCTCTTGCCTGTGTATTGCGGACCAACGTTCCCCGGGCAAAGTCGGGCAGTAGGCTTGTAATTTTGTGTTCCCATTGTTGATGCTTTGCACCTCGTACACCGTCATAGGGATGGGCATAGAGTGAGTGAGCACCACCCAGTCGTGTTGTTGTATCTTCGGACCTGTTTTAGGGGCGCGAATCCAGGCCAGAGGTATGGCTTCCTGAAGCTCCCTCAT